GATCGGGAACGTTGGAAGCGCTGTCTGACGCGTCTGCCTCCGCGACCCGAAAGGAAAAGCGGCGATGGAAAATGATGATGATGATGATAACCATTTAAATAATTAAATGATTAATGTATTTATATCAAATAAGTTATATGAACTTTAATCAGAAACCAGCTCCTGGATGTCACTGTAACCTCTAATGAGCAACACCTACTACTTTGAAAAGTATTACGGGCACTTTGAAAAATAACTTCAGAAAGAGCAGAATTTTCAGAGGCCACTGAGAAACAGAGAAAACGACTAACCTGCTTCCAGCAGTACAGTTCATGAAACAGCCTAAAAGTACAGGTGTATCTCGAAGAAATAGATGCACGAGGTCGCGGAACTGAGACATGTGTCAACCTGCTCACAGAACGGCTTCTAGTTATCACATCCGTTGAAAGATGCACGCGGCCCTTCCAGGTTTTGCAGGCTTGCTTTCCAAATTCTGTTTGCAAGCAACGAAGAAACTCGGCGTTAAGGCGATCCACACCTGCACCAATTTACTATTGGTATTTTCTTCAAGTACGCAGGGTGCCCCTGTGGGATGGCGTTCTGGGTGCACAAAACCTACAGCTGGACTAACAGACGTGTCTTCTGCCTTCTACGTCGCCAACAGATGATGGACCGGCCATGTGGCTCGCTTGAGACACAGCCAGAGAACGTCATGAGTCAAAAACTGGGTTCCGCTCCATGACAAACGTCAAGGTCATCCAACACTGTGGGATGATCTGATCGTCAAATCGCGTGGTGACCGGTGGAGGCAGAAAGCAGAAAATAAAAATTCTGAGAGAAGCGCTGACGTGGATCATGGAGCACTCATAACAGAACGAGTCTAACAAAGTGAACGGATTTTTTCAGCAAGTCACCTGATTCAAACAATAAATCATTTCATACTTTGGGAAATCAACATTCAAAAATAATTTCATGGCTACTGTAAATGGGCGACATTAGTTCAGCTGGAAGTGTCGCTTATGCTGTGTAGCGTACGTTTTCGAAAACGGACAGCGGTAGGATCTGAAAGAAATTTCCGAGTTCTAACTGTAAGTTAACAGAATCTCTCAACACCAATCCGCTAACTGGAAAGTACTGAAATCAGTCCTGAGAGTGCGCACAGCGCAACCCAAAGTTTGATCTTCGACAATCGTGCATGAGCCACAGACACGCTTTACGGCAACGTCATGTATTTCCACAAGGAATGGTGCTCGATCATAGAACATGACGCCGCACTATTTGCTGTAGAAATCAAAGCAGTCGTTTTAGAGTGCTTTGCGAAACTGAACCATACCAGCGCCAACGCCACCTGGCGAAAACAACTGAACAATACAGCCGTCTCAAACAAAAGAACTACTTCATGCTCCCCCCCCCACACACATACACTCACACCTTCTGTCCGCCCGGTTTTCACCTGCCGTCAATGGGGGAGGGAGCGGTGGCCCTCCATCAATCACAAAAAAGTGTCACTCGACAGATATGCGCACCATCTGCACAGAATGAATTTCTGGGACTGGCTTAAATGGGAGTGTGGAGCAGAGGGAACAGTCAAATTATGGGCCATATTAGCACTGACCTCTGCAGATCAGCGGTCGTACCGCAGAAGTACACAAAGAGTCGAAAGCCGTTCTCCAGTGGCTTTCTTCAACGATGCGCTCGGAGAAGCCATGCAAAACGAAGAGGACCATTCTTTAAACCGTCAACGGTGTCTATGATATATCCGGATGACGGTTATCAGCATCATCCACAGGCGGCAGAAGCGCCGTGTCTTCAAAACAACTGGCTGACACCACCTCGTAAGGTCTCAGGAACGCATACAAAAAACTTCACCGTTGAAGACGTGCGAAGCGCGCCACGCATCATCAATCGTCCAACGCTCAGCTAGCGGTCGAGGAAGTTTGACCGTGACTCGACCTGGAGGACCGAGTGACCGCTGGCAACGACGCAGACATGATG